TCCTCAAAAGCATAAATAAATAAATAGTTCTTAATATTCTAATGTTATATAATCTGCACTTATATATCAACAGAGTTGTACAAAGATTTTAGTTTCATATATAGCATGTAATGATCATAAACCACAAACGCGTAATTTTACGAGTTGAAAATGTTACATTCTTGTTCTCTTTTTACACGAAAGAGGCAATAAAGCAATAAACGGCGAGATTTTTGATATAAAATCCAGTGCGGGCGATCTCTCTATGAGAGGGCGAGGCGCGTAGAATCCGCGGAATCTGGAGCACGAAACGACACGACGAACCGGCACGAAAGGGCGCGGGAAGGCAACGCGAGGAACGGGTCGGCTGAAAGGCGGATAGGGCCGAGAGGAGAGTGAGAGAAAGGAAAGAGAGAAGAAAGGGATGGAGAAACAAAGCGGCGTCCCTTTGTCCTGCTCTCGGTGTAGCTCGCATCGCTCTCGTGCTCGCGCGCTCAGCCAGGCGCATTTTGCAAAGAGCGCGTCGCGAGACTCTTGTTGTCCCCGCGATATTACTTCCTACATTTGCGCAAATTATATCGCCGCGGCAGAGACGTTGCTGCTGCTGCTGCTGCTACTGCTGCTGCTGCTGCTGTTGCTGTTGCTGTTGCTGCTACTGCTGCTTGCGAGCGCTCGTTCGCCGCACTTTTGTTCCCGCTTAACTTCTAAAGCACGTCCGCGACACGAGAGATAACTATTAATCAAAGACGTGAGCAGGGGACAGGGAACGAAGAGAGAGAGAGAGAGAGAGAGAGAGAGAGAGAGAGAGAGAAAAGAGGACGTTCACCTAGTTACGCCATTGCTATTAACTACGATCTACTACCTTTTATTTTTCATTTTAAAGAAAATAACGACGAGAAACTTCAAACATGATCGTACGAGTGACAGCTGACACGATCGTAAAATGTAAAATGCGTTGCATATATTTTCTTTTATTTAAGAGCGTATACAAAAATGTCATAGTTTGATTGAGTTATAAGGAAATGATTCTTTGCTCAGAGACGGTTATTCCCCTGCGAGATCAAAATTTATTCTTGTCGGATAAAAATTGAATGAATAATGAAAGAGTAGAAGTTATTAGGTATACATAAGAAAACCATTATTTTTGTGTTGTCATAATTCATTATGTAATTGTTATCGAAATATGTGATAAATATTATCGAATGAGCAATTTCGCACCTTTTTTCTATTTTCCATCGCGATAGGAAATTGCAAAGACTATATTCTCCGGTCTTTATATCTCCGACACTCTTCTCCGATTTTTCTTGTCGGTGTTTCCCAACTTTCTCGCTTTTCATGCTTTTCTAGACATTGCGTCTTAAAACAACGGACGACTCTCGCGAATAACTATTTCGCCTTTTATTATCCTCCTCGCGAAGGATCGAGTTACAGAATTACGAGCGTGACGCTCGCCAGCGTGCATTCGTTTATTTGGTTGGCAAGCAAGGAGAATGGCTCATTCGTCCTAACATCTAGCTTTTCTGTTATACTGATGATCAACCGTCACGCGAAATACGTGACTGACTTTAAATGTAAAAATAAGTGGTACATAATCGAACCAGAGAAATATACGCGCTTCAAAAAATATTTCTTTATTAAATATTTCATAAAAAAATCGGATCATCATTCACGGAAAGAACAATTTTTCTAAAATATCTAAAAATTTAATTAATTTTGTGGGAATATCATCACGATTAATGTTACAAAAATTTTGAGCACGACATTATTATTCTGATGACTCAAAATTATTTTCAGATCTGTGTCTAAATTTTTGAGAGAGAGAGAGAGAGAGAGAGAGAGAGAGAGAGAGAGAGAAGCAAAAAGAGAGAAAGGAAAGAGAGATACTTCAGTAAAACAATCCTTTCGGTATAGGATTATTAAATCTCACTCAAATAATTTATATTTTTTACGTACATCTGTGCATATTCAACATATCTTGTATGATATTTACATATCATATTTATACGAATGGAAACGTAACTTATAATGAAGGTTTTATACATATTATGTATAAATTTTATAAGATAGAAATATGTATGAAATATGGATTTTCGATATGGATAACTATTTCACCTCATACTCCTTTATTCACAATTTTCAAAATTCCCTTTATTAATCCTTGAATGTGTAGATAAAGTGAGATCAAGTATATGTGGAATAAGGATCGAGATTAAACCTAAGATTTAAGAATCGATAGCTCTCGTATAAAGCAACACATCACCAACTGACTTTCTAATTCACTTTGTATAAAATTAAAATATATATATAGTATAGAAAAGATCGAAATCGAATCCAAAACTCATCGATTACAATGAAGGATCCAAGACACTGAAGTCTTAAAAAATTTAATTAGATCTGAAAATAATTTCATATAGAATCATGTGTCACTCCATTCTTATTCTCGAAAAATATTACATATGAAAATATAAAAGTATATGTTACGTACATTATAGAATTTCATATACAATATAAATTCAGGAATATAAAGGCCCATATTATTAATTAAAGATATCCTTCACATTGATAAGTTTATGAATGTTTCAAGTGACATTGACAACTTTTCTCAATAATGATAAAACGTAAAATTGTTTTCAGCCAAGTTATGTTTGTACACAGAAGAAAGAAATTTATTATTTGCAAAAAGATTTAAAAATTTAACAGATACAGATCGATCTGAAAAGAATTTTGTTGGACTATCAAAATAATTAGTAGGAAATTCAAGCATGATAAACAATGTTGTTGCAAAAAATTTTGATATTTTAACAACTCCAGCTTTAGCATCTTACATAATTATTTTAATAATTCAACAAGATTATTTTCAGATCTTTATTATAGCTAAATAAACACTTTAGTAAAACTGTTTCTTCCGTGTAGAACATTAATACGAATTAATACGAAATCTTTATTTGAGCTTATCAGTCACATCTCTTCCAACCAAAGAATAAATAACAACTCCATGAGAAGCATACGTAAAAAGACGATCGCGTGCCACAATGATTACACTCGATTATGCGTCCGGAAAGAATAATTCTATTTAAGTATTTAAAAATTTAGCTATTATAGATACAAATCTGAAGATAATTTTGTAAGACCATCAAAATAATTATGCAAAACGTTTAAATGTTAATAACAATACTGCAAAAAGTTTTAACATTTTAGCAGTTTAAGCGTCTTACTTACTACAATTATTTTGATGGTCCAAACAAAATTATTTTCAGATCTAATTAAATTTTTTAACACTTCAGCAAAACCTTTATTTCCGTGAGCTATTAACAGTAGTTATTGCTTTCTTTGCAACATTATTACATGAAATTTATATTACAGCGTAAAAAAGATTAATTTCCATTCATTTTCACTAAAAAATCGCTAATGATATCCTGACAGAAAGACATCGTTCAAATCGCGCCAATGACGGAAGCAAAAGACATTATAAGTACTTGTCGTAATGTAAGATTAGCTTACATTTTTTCAGCAGCACGCAATGCGTCACGAACAGTTTCCTGTTAAATAACGATTTTCGTAACAGTGTCTAACTTCGTTCTCTTGGATTAATTATGTTTAATGATAAATCGCGATAATTATCATCTGTCTCGTACGCATTACAGACGATCGGCCATGTATCTCAAGAGTATTCATAAATTTAAATAAATAATAAAGAGACTCTTAATATAAAATGATAATAAGTAGAGTTATTAAAGATACGTAAGAGTCAACGCTTTGAAATTAGTGCGCAAATAAATATCTTCAACGATATAAAATTTCAATATATATGTTGAATTTTGCAACTTACATAAATTAGAATTACTAAATAAACTTACAAATGAACTAGATAATATTCGTAAAGAAAGAAGTTATTATCTAAACAAAATTATATATCTAAATTTTTGCAACTCTTCTTGAATTAATTACGTTATTCTAGTTATCGTAATAATTATTAGTCATTTTGGCGCGACAGTAAAAAAAAGTGTGATGTCATTCCGTCTCGAAAATACTCGCGGAAAAATTATTGCTTATCGTTCGTAACGTTTGCTTAACTTTTTCTGATTTTCTTTAAACCAATTATGTTGTATCATTAGTTGTATTATTAGTCACCGCAATAATTATCGGCCATTAAGCGCGATATTAAGAGAAGTATTACGGCACCGTTATCGCCACCGCTTCGTATGTCCATCGGTGCGCTTCGAGTATACTCGTCGAAGAAACGATCGAGCCACTTTGTGCCCCTTGAGCAGAGCGGCGCCACATCAGCGTCAATAAGCAAACGAGTGGTGCCCACATATCGTCCATTGGCCGGTTCTATGAACAGCAATTGTTGTACGTTGACTTGCGGGCTCTATAAATAATCCTCATAATTTCTAATGGTCGCCTCTGCCCCCCCCCCCCCCTCTCTCTCTCTCTCTCTCTCTCATATTCGTATGTCAGCAAATTCGCTGGTGGTCTCGTTTCATCGTATGGGACTTTGAGCATGTGCGACGCGTGAAATTATGACGGTAAAAAGAGTGGCACGAGCGGAGGTTGTGGCGTAGGGACGTGCACGGGGAACAATCAAACATTCTTCGAATTAGCAACGCGAAGTGCGAGAGCGGTCGACTTGACTCCCACGTGCTCTTTCGCTTCCCTCGCGCGGAGCGGTAATTACACTATATTACCCTTTGACGTGCGCTATAATGGATAACGCTAAGCAAAAATGTCGAGAATACCGGCGTAAGCGAAGAAATATACGGTAGTACACTGGGAAAATGCCGAACGCAGAATAGAAAATGTTCCGTCAATTTACTAACTTGGCTGCACGTTAAGTTGAAAGTTGGTTAAAATGAAATTCGCTTTAAATTAAGTGACAATGAAATTTCAGCATTATTCGTTCTGCGTTTTTTCATTAAATACATACTTTAAATTTTATAATGCAATAATTCTCATTTCACAGATGCCACGATGTTAATTTCTACTCCGCTAACAAAAAAAATAATGATGCGAATACTTACGGGAGCGGCGGGATGTCTCGCCGGCGCGGGGTACATCTTAGTCTTGGACAATTGCTTCTTAGAAATCGCTGCAGCGTCCACGATACACTAAGTACACGATCATTTCACCATTTCGTGGGCTCGAACGCATCCGCGTGAAGAAACTCCATTTGCGACGACAGTGGCTGTTCCTAGATTGATCTTTCCATGCACTGTTCACAGCACAACGCGATTCATCGTGGTTATCTTATTATCGCGAACCGAGTACACTTTTCTCATTTATTAACGAGCGCGAAAATGGCAACGAAAACTTTGTATGAATCTCGTTTAAGTTCGATGAACGACACTTTTCTTCGTAATTTTTCGCCCGCTGTTAAAGCTTCACACGTTGTGGAGTGCCTCCGTTCCTGTTGAAAAAAACAATTGTTTTTTATTTCTGTTGCTTCTATATGAATGTTGCCTGTACAATTTAATAGTTTCTTATCGCGTTTCTCCTGTTCGAGAAACGTTTGTTCGAGTAGAAAAATATTTACTCATCGGTGCTATTCAAATTTTCCCTCTCTCGAGAGGAGCAGCACTAAAAGTACTCGCTAGGTCTGTTCGCGTTACTTGCAATTTTTGCACTCAACATTTTCGCTTTCTTTCTTCAACGGCCAAATAGAGCAGTTTGATAAGTTAGTGACTTTTTAAAAGAAGACTATTCAAAAATAAATCGAATTTTGGTTAAAAAAAAAAAATAAAAAAGTCACTAATTTATCAAATCGTTTATCTTGTTTTAAGTTCAAAAATTTTTAAAAATTTCAACAAGGGCGTAGCCAGGATACTTATAGAGGGGAACTAAATTAGATTTGAGACTTTTAAATGTGAGGGGGATAATCAAATGAGATGGATGGTGTATTTTAAATTAATTACCAACAAATTCTATCACAAAATCACACATATTTACTAATTTACTTAATTTTTCCCTTAAAATTGTAAATTCTTCGAATTGGAAAACTTTAAATTTATAACACTAGTCTTAGCTTCTCAGAAAATCTTTCTATAACCATCACCTCAAAAATTCCTTCTTTTCCAAAATTAATTTCTCGTGAATATTAAGAATTTATTAAAAATAGTAAATATATATTTCTTTGTAATTATTTAAGTTCTTCTTCTTTAAATAAATAGTACCTGTTCCCAAAAGAGGAAAAAGACAATACAACCAGAACAAGTAAAATGATATGCAACGAGTGAAAAAGGATACAAAATCAAAATGATGAAAATTATCAGTAAAAGTGATAATAGAATTCGTATATCATAACAATTCGTGAGTCATGAACTGAATAGATAAAAGACATCTTGAAGATTCGAGAAGGGGAGGGGAGACGTGGCTCTCCTCTCGGCTACGCCCATGGATGGTTCGTATTTCAAGCTGACATAAAAAGGAAGGTGTAACATTCCCGTGGATGCGCAATAAAAGAGTGAATTTAAGGCTATTTGATTGATTGTTTCCAGTATTGTCATTATATCCAATGTTACACCTATCTTTATATCATGTTTCAAAACTTGAACAAATCTACTATTAACCATGCGGTACCTCGCAGAGACTCGCAGAAAAACCGATGCATTTTCATTTCGTCGGCGTGGCGCGCGTGTGAGAGGAGCTTTACGATGGCAAGCGATCAATTTATCGTTCGATTTACTAGGCGCGTAAAACTGCTCGCTCCGTCGCTGCTCCAAGAGCATTTATCCTAATCTCCGAGGCGTGTTTCGAACCGGCGACAAAGAGCGAGAGAAAAAAAGCCAGAGATGCTGCGCGGCGCAGTGTGGCGCGAGAGGGACAGAAAGAACAAAAAGAAAGCGCGCTCGCGCGTTATATGTATATTGGGTGCAAAGCCACCGGCTGAGCGCAACGTCACGTTCCAGGATCTACGACGCATTGATTACGATGCAATTTTCAATGGACCGTAGCGGCGGCGACGGCGGCCGTACGGTGCATTACGCGCGACGCATTATTGCAAACGTCGCGACATGTCAAACGTGACGCATTTCGTCGGGCATATCCCGTTGAGGAACATCCGCAGAAAACGAAATGAGACGGCCGTGCACGAATTTTTTTTACTTTCTTACTTAGTCGGTAAATAACGAATTAGAGAGAGCGACGATGGAAATCCAAATTGCTCGCTTATTCCTTCGCGCTCATCGTGGGATTTTATTGTCGTTTCGAAAGTAACGTGAAGAACTCTTTGAGCGATTAACGCAGCTTGAAAATTGAGGGCTTTTGCAAAAGAGAAAGCAAACTACTCTCTACATTTGAAGAAAAATTTTTTAATTTCTAAATTCGTTTTCGCGAGACGAGACGTGACAGACGATTGCTTTAACCTTGGAATGCTATCGATACGTCAGTTTTATATACAAGTTAGCGAAGTCATTAAGCGCTAAGGTATGTCTTTAGTGATTATAAGTAGGAAACCAATCTAAACCATGCTAAAAGCTAGGATAAGTGGAGACAAACTTTTAAAATTTTGACTGTTTTTTATGTCCCTCTGGACTCTCTGCTGAGTATTAGAACAGAGAGTGTGATAAGTGCAGATTTCAATTTTTAAGCAATTTTTGTGTGTTATTATCAAGATTATTATTTTGTATTATTATGTATTATTTTGTATTTTATTTAAGCGTTACGAGGAGATGCATATAATTGGATTACTTCATATCATTTCAAAATTAAATTCGAAATACTTACGTCCTTTTCTTTCAAGTTAATAAGTTTTTTTTTATTTGTGTTATAGAAGTCTAAATTATAAATTTTATTAAAAATGTGAAATATATGAGAAACTTGTGTTATATTAATAAAGAGTCTTATACATTTTCTTATACATAAAGTTTACGTACAGCATTTTAGGGTTAATGTTTTATCAACATAATCGATTTTTTTCAACAAATCGATAGATGATTGTCCTCACTATATATATCCGTTTATCATGCGAAAATATTCTTTGTGACTAAACTAGTGTAATTAAATCTACTGTGAAATTCATAATTAAATCAAATTATACAAATTACTTTTGATAATTTCTATAGGCCGCCATTACTTGTAGCCAATGTATAATGTTATTAATTTGACTAAAACAATAAAATTAAACAATTTTATTCAAGAAAATATGTAAAATTTAATTCAAATTTAGTTTATTATGTACTAATAATGAATTCGATTGGATGCACTCGATGCGCATTGATGCATATTAAAGCTATCGTACATAAATTGCTTTAAAGATGATTTTAATATAAATATATTGTAGAAACAAGTCAAATCGTGAAATACTTAATTTTATTGTGCTATTAAGTAAAATATATTTTATAATTAGAAATATTTACATTTCACTTTTATTGTTAGTTTAAATCAGTATACAACGGTTGTAATATGCACCAGTGCGCAATAATGCAACAGAATTCGTTATAAGTGCACGATTAATACGATGTTTACTTTGAAACTACAGAAATGGAATGACATTTTGATATATACATTTAGAAGTTGAAAACAAAATGTTATTTAACTCAAAGGATTAGATTTAACTCAATTGGATTATTATTGTTTCTTTATTGATATCTATAAATAATAGGGTAAGGTGATACAATTTCAATCAATACAATTCTGAACAAAATATTTGAATCCACTTTTCAAGTTTGGTTTTTTCCTGTTTTTGTATGTGTTTGGTGATGTGTGTACTCTTTAGCACTCCTGATGACAATGAGATTAGGATTACGAAACTTGAATCTCGAAATTGGATTTAGATCTTATTCAGAATTGTATCATGTTCAAAACTGTATCGTCCTAGTTTGAAGCTTGGCGAAAGAGCGGGACACTTACACTAAAAAAAAAAAAGTTTCGTAATAGCTGCTAAATGTTTAATGAAATAAAATAAGCATGTTCTTTTTAGCGAAAGAAAAGAACAGGCCTAATGCCAATTTGATTAATATAACCAAAAATATTTAGAAAAATGAAATTATTGTTGTATATATTAACATTATTTCAACAAATATTTGATAGCTATTACCAAACTCTTTGGTGTAGAAAATTTTAGTGCAATCTAGCGTAGCGACAAAGAACAGGCCAATTTAAATAAGTCAATATAAATCGATCGATGCATGTATTTCGATGGTGTTTCGTTACACGTCGTAGAACAGGCGGAGGGGGAGGGGGGGGGACGAGGGAGAGGTGAGGGAGCGGTAGGAAGCGTTAAACCGGGCGTGCAAATACTCGTCCGATGGATGCACCGGTCGTCGTGCACCCCAGCGACGGTACGTTGGGTTAGTTTAGGCCATAGCTTAATTTCCAAGTAGAGAATTGGCCATTCAACAACGAGGAGGAGGGCAGGCAGGCAGGCAGGCAGGCAGGCTGGATGGATAATTCGCGGTATGTCTCCCTCTGACTCGCGCGCGAACGCGCGCGTATACGCACTATACGCACTCTCTCTCTCTCTCTCTCTCTCTCTCTCTCTCTCTCTCTCTCTCTCTCTTTCTCTCTCCTCTCTCGCAGATTGCCGTACGCGATTTCAGCGCTGTTTATTTTAGCCGCATCGCGCCGCAGGGCGGGTCGCGCGCGCGGATTACGGGAAACATTTTTGCGATTTGTACGCTTCACCAAAGAGGGTCCGCGAACTGTCCAGCGGCCGAAAACCAACGTACGCGTGGCCGGACAACGTTGCCTATTATTTTCACGCTTTTACCGCGCCGCACGATCGCATATACATGACGCGTCATTACGGGCTCTTTGTAACGCGGGATGATGTTTCGTGTAACGCGCAAAATGGAGTCATATAACCGCGTTAACAGTCCATTCTACGCGGATAATGTATTTCGCGAGCAATACACGTATATATGTAGGTGTACGTGTACGTGCGATAAATATATTTATGTGCGCGCGTGTATAATGCGTGCGCAAGCGTAAAAAACTCACCCAGGCTCCGAATTTGAGCCATCATTTCCATCAATTTGCAGCAAATGCGTTCGGCGGGACGATAAAAACTTTTCGGCTTGATACTCCCGGCGTATGACGTCGCGACGCGTCGCGTCCCGTCGGCAAACGCTGCCGACGCCGTCGACGCCGCCGCGCGAAATTAAATCCGCCCTTTCCATCCTCCTGCATTTACGCAAACGCTGAGAAAAGTTTCGCCACGTTCCATTGTATTGCGGAGCAATAGAGATGCGGCGTGAGACCGACAACGACGATCCTGAATCCAGACCGCGATAATTTGGATAAAATGAGTTTAAATTTCAACAGGATAAAGCGGAATACATAATCGAATTGTGATTTCAATAATCATGTATTATGTAACTAACGCGTAATTATTCCTGTAGAGAAGTTTAAAAGCCTAGAGATTGCGCTTTTATTATGTTGGCCAAAAGCTCTTCTCGGTTTTTATTTATGCAAGTGATTATTTTCAATATTCAATTTAGATATTCCAAGCTCTTCTGCGATATCTCGAATAGCTTGTTGCGGATTATTATCGATCGAGACCTTGATTTAATTATCATCCACTGTACTTGGCCTATCAGAACTTGTCTTCGACGAAGAAATTCTCATCATGGAATTTTGCAAATTAAAATTGCCGAAAAATATGCGATCATTCACATTATCTTCATTGTACAGCATGCATCTTTTTTACATAGCGTTCTTGCTTTTATAATAGTAATATAGTATAACATGTTGAAAAAATGTGTCTTTTTATCTTCCATTTTTTTTATCCTTTATAACAAACGGTAATTAAACTCTATTAATTTTGATTGACTTATTTATTAAAGATTCATTGATATGTAACCTGTTAAGTTATGAATTTATTTGATAAAACAAAGAAAAGAAATCCACACCTAAAGCCACATTAATAATCATCTACTGACAAAAACGAAAACATTTTTTGGCCAATGAAAGCACTCGAAAAGTTTGTCGTATTTATTCGAAAGAAAAAAAGAAGCTAGCATGGATTGCGATGGATAAACGGGTCATGGAGAAAGTTATCACGAATCTCACATAATCGGCCCTCGACCGATCTTTAACAACCGCGTGATCGTCCGTGATTTCTTTACCTTCTCGATCGTTATCGCGACATGGCCGAGCGGCGGCGCACAATGTCGTGCGGATTAAAGGATTCTCCACACCGGACACACTAGTGCGCTTTAATTATTGAGTACCACGAATGATACCGCGCACCACGTTTACGAGTCCCACAATTTCGTTACGAACTGTAAGCCAAATAGTCGAGTGCGAGATAGTTGATCCGCGACAAAGATACAAATTCTATTTCTCTACAGATCCCAGAGAAGTCGTAGGAAGTAGGAAGAGTAGTCGTTCGGTTTATCTCGTAAGCAAAAATTGAAATATGATTATAGAAATAATAGAATCGATAAAACTTTCTTACTTGAATAGAATCAATGTCGATAAAATAATATATATAATTAACCCTCAGCTATCTAATATTTTTTAAAGTGCCTTGTTGAAGTAATGCAAATGAACCCTCATCTTATAGCGAAAATCCAAAGATTTTGTTTACCTACAATTTAGAACCTCATAGTGATCATATAGATTGTACAATCGTCCAAAAATGTTCGCACCTGGTCCAAATAATTTATTGCTGCAGTTAAAATAATGCCAATATAAAAAAAATTCATGACACGTGAAATGATTTATTTTCTTGTATTATTTCAATTGCATTATTTCGATTAAAGTAAAAAAAATATATATAAATCATATATAACAAATGACAACATGGGATTCAATGATCGCTTCTATTATACATTACATCGGGTATTAGATTTTTTTTTATATATTGGTGATTGGTCGTTTGCGACCGGCATGAAAGTAAAAACACTATTGTGCTGGCGGCGATAAAAGCAACTCTGAGCAACGTTACGACGGTATCCTAATATTCCGCATACTTACGATACGACCGATCGTGCCTTTATTAGCGGCGTGACGACGATGCGGACTTCGTAAAATGCACGCGTCGTAAAGAGCCTTATCTCGCGAAGCACGATAATTATACGGCGAGAGCAACAACTTAAGTGGCCCGCGGCAGTAGTTAAGAACGTGCGCGTGTAAAAATTTTGTTTGAACAACGGATTATTAAGTAAGAAATTCCGCCTACTCCGTGAATCGATATAGGCATAAAATTCTGTTTAAACACACGGAAAGAACAATTTTGCTGAAGTATCAGAAAAATTTAGCTAGACGCAGCTCTGAAAATAATTTTGTTGGACCATCAAAATAATTACGTAGGTAATTTAAACATATAATGAGCAATGCTGCAAAAAATTTTAATATTCTAGCAACCAGTTTAAGCGTTCTACATAATTATTTTGAGTTTAACAAAATTATTTTCAGATTTGTATCTAGCTAAATTTTTAGACATTTCAACAACATTCTTCTTTCTGTGCAGTGAATTTATAATTACAAAATCTCGTTTAAATAAAACTTTCGATAATTATAATCATCTACTTAGGTTCACTTCTACCAATGCAGATTAGCTTTAATCTTGGTTCAACTTACGACATCTCGTCTTGTTCTATTTCTATAGGAATTAAAAAAAGATGAAAACAAATTAAACCGGAAATTAAACTAAAAATTAAGTTGGTAGAAATGAATCCTAATGTTACTTTGAGAATCAGGATTGTTATCAATCATTATCTGAATCAGAATTGTTATCGATTTAAAAGAAGCAAATGTCCAAAAAATATACTTCTGAAAAATCCAAACTTTCGTTTTTTAGTGACTTTCCAAAATTTACCTCGATGGTGGCTAATGTCTCGGTACGAGAAACTCGCAAAGGGATCACAATTTACGGGATACGTGCGCATAAAGATTCCGCGAATTTGTATACGACAAAGAAAACGGAGACGAACGAGGAACGGCTTGTCGATCGTCTTCGACGATTTTACGAGGCGTGTACGACAATTACCTCTAACATCGTTAACCTGCTCCTCCTTCTCGCCGTTTCTCGATTATCCTCATCGTCGACTCTTAGCAATAACGCAAGTTAAAGCACCCGGTACAATTAATTTAGTCGCTTGATAATATTTCAAACCCGGAAGTCGTATCGTCGTAAGATTTAAACGAACTTATATTATTAAAATTCATGGTTCTTTGATCAATAAGTAAAACTGCGTAGTTAATAAAAACTTTGCCTATTATTATCTTAAATTAAAATACACTCAATGATTATTGATAATATAATCAATATTGAGAAAATAACATAATTAATATAATTATGTTATTTTCTTGACATTGATTTTATTATTTATAATCGCTGAGCGTATTGCAATTTTTAATTAATATAATATACATAATTAATATAATTATATTAAAATAAAAAAAATTAATATAACATTCGACAGATTCTTTAATCATAGACATAATATAAAAAAAAAGGATTCTCTTCCGGATTTGAATCATTATTAAGCGATTAAATTAACTGTAATAAATTTTGGTGTAAAGAATTAATTATATAGACATTTATTATGAAAAATTGAGAAATTATGAGAGCAGATGGCATCGGTTTTCCGTTTAAGGGTAATCAATTCTGAACTGACTACGTCGGAAGTTTGCCCGTTCCTAGGTTATCTAAGACACTAATTAGGATTATGTGACGATAAATGCGATAATACGGAGACCCGGTTATCTCTCTAACAATCTATTAAACATCTCATGATGAAACAAGAACGGAAATTTGAAAAAAAATTGAAGCACGTGATCGTTCAGATTTCTATTAAGGCATTTACTGAAATAAGTCTGATAATAATAATCAAGTCGAAGTAGTAAGAAGTTTAGTAATTACTAAAACTTCGATAAAATAAGAACATTAAGTGAGTTAGATTAAATGTTTAATCACAAATAAGAGAGGAAAATGTCATTTTCAATCAAAGCGGGTTATTTTTTTTTAGTAATATTTATATGTAAATATATAAATACGATTATCATTTCTATCATAAAATGAGATAATAATCCCACAATTAAAAAAAAACCGATTGTCGAATTTAATAACAATGTCTACTAGCATCTTAAAAACCTATAAAAGAATAACTTATAAAAATGACTGTAAAAAAGAATGACTTCTAAAACAATTTTGAAAAATAATAATTTCAATCAATATTTAATAATCGAAATCAACTATAAACGTTAATTTCTTATTTATTTTTCTAAATATTATCTTATGTACCTAATTTCATCGAACAATTAGATATATTATTATTATGTTTGCTAAATATTGTATTTAATACTAAATAAAACATATTGTAGCTATTACCAGACTTTTTTTCAATTTACGATTGTATTGTTGTATCATTTTCGCGCTAAGCCTTAAACACAATGAAAAGCACAGACAATGTATCTGTATAGAAAGAGGGAATAAGAAATTTTTCTCAGAAACCATGTATATCTAGAAGACACGATTTCTGATAGATAAAAATCTTTTATTTTCAGTTGCTATTGCCTGTGCTTCTCATTGTGTTTAAGGCTTTACAGCGCGTTAATCACTTCCGTATATCTTCCCAATAATCCATTAAGCACGTCGCGATAGAACACGATAGACACCCGTGGGGTTGGTAAACGAGGAACAAAGATTTGGAGCAGCGGACTCCGGGGTCTGTTGTTTGAAACTCGATTAACGAGCCTCGGAGTTCGGACGCGGCAGCAACATTTTCTCGGAAGAGAACGTGCGCCTTATCGATCAAGAAGCGGAGCGGAGGGAATTAAGCCTTGATCGGTAAGGAGGAAGGGATTATAGTTTTTGCGGGATGACTCGCCGCACGCTCGATTCTTCCCTCGTTTCGCGAAAGACGATCGTGTGCCGTAATTATTAGTTTCGAACTGGCGCGGGAGATTAACGAGATGGATTTTAACGCGTCGCGCAATCGGCACAGATTAAAAAAAGGAGAGGGAGAGAGAGAGAGAGAGAGAGAGAGAGAGAGAAACCGCGAAAAGTAATATAATCGTCGTGTATTATCCATGCTTCGTCGATATTTCGCGCGAGGCGGCGCGTCACGCTCCGAAGCTGGCCGCATAACTAACGAGGACACGTGACTTCGCGCGCCGCTAACTATCGCAACGAACTGAAGTTGGCCGCTTCGACTCTGAGATTCTCGCGGCGCTCTCTCCGAAAAATTCAAGATTCAAAAGAGTCAACGGTTGAAACGCACCTATGATATATACATACCTCGTAGAATCCATCGAAAGTGACGATTCCTTGGAGATCGACTCGCAGAACGATTATCGACTCCTGAGATCCGTCCGACGCTCGCGCCTCCGTCCTTAATCCGTCTTGGCACTGCGGCGAAAAAGCACTCGCGTTTCCTGCTGCACACTCTCCTCCCGCATCTCTTTTTCCTACTCGTATATCCCTCCTCTCTCTCTCTCTCTCTCTCTTTCTCCCTCTCTCTCTTCCTCTCCCTCTTTCTCTCTCCCTCGCTCCGTCTCGCACTAACACTTTCGTAGAAAGACGCGTGCACCAAGTCAAACACAGGTCAGGACGTATGCGTGTATGTACGTGGCGCACAGTCGCGAGTGCGACCGGAGTTGGACACCGGGAAGGTTGAGCGAATGTCGCGACCGCACCGCGCAACGTACGACGCTCGACTGCGAGCCGGGTAGTACCGAAGTGGATGACGGGAACGTGTGAACGCTGCTTGCCGCCGCCGCCGCCGCCACCGCCGCCGTCACCGCCACCGCG